TCCGCAGACAAGTCTTTTTCCCTTCGTCAGCTCGTCGGTCGGGCAGCAAGTCTTTTTCCCTTCGGTCAGCCGCGTCGGTCCGGGCAGATGTCTTTTTTCCTCGGTCAGGCAGTCGGTCCGGACAGAGTTTTTTCCTTCGGATCAGCCGCGTCGGTCCCGTCTTTTCCCTTCGGTCAGCCGCGTCTTTTTTCCCTTCGGTCAGCCGCGTCGGTCCGGGCAGACAAGTCTTTTTCCCTTCGGTCAGCCGCGTCGGTCCGGAAACAAGTCTTTTTCCCTTCGGTCAGCCGCGTCGGTCCGGGCAGACAAGTCTTTTTCCCTCGGTCAGCCGCGTCGGTCGCAGACAAGTCTTTTTCCCCTTCGGTCAGCGTCGGTCGGCAGATAAGTTTTTTCCCTTCGGTCAGCCGCGTCGGTGCAGACAAGTCTTTTTTCCTCGGTCAGCGTGTCGGTCCGGGCAGATAAGTCTTTTTCCCTTCGGTCAGCCGCGTCGGTCCAGACAAGTCTTTTTCCTTCGGTCAGCCGCGTCTTCGGGCAGACAAGTCTTTTTCCCTTCGGTCAGCCGCGTCGGTCCGGGCAGACAAGTCTTTTTCCCTTCGGTCAGCCGCGTCGGTCCGGGCAGACAAGTCTTTTTCCCTTCGGTCAGCCGCGTCGGTCGGGCAGATAGTCTTTTTCCCTTCGGTCAGCCACGTCGGTCCAGGCAGATAAGTCTTTTTCCCGTCGGTCAGCCATGTCGGTCCGGGCAGACAAGTCTTTTTCCCTTCGGTCAGCTCGTCGGTCTGGCAGATACGTCTTTTTCCCTTTGGTCAGCCGTGTCGGTCGGGGCAGACAAGTCTTTTTTCCCTTCGGTCAGCCGCGTCGGTCCGGCAAGTCTTTTTCCCTTCGGTCAGCCGCGTCGGTCCGGGCAGATAAGTCTTTTTCCCTCGTCAGCCGCGTCGGTCCGCAGACAAGTCTTTTTCCCCTCGGTCAGCCGCGTCGGTCCAGATAAGTCTTTTTTTCCCTTCGTCAGCCGCGTCGGACAAACAAGTCTTTTTCCCTTCGGTCAGCCGCGTCGGTCCGGGCAGATAAGTCTTTTTTCCCTTCGGTCAGCCGCGTCGGTCCGGGCAGATAAGTCTTTTTCCCTTCGGTCAGCCGCGTCGGTCCGGGCAGACAAGTCTTTTTCCTTCGGTCATCCGCGTCGGTCCGGGCAGACAAGTCTTTTTCCCTTCGGTCAGCCGCGTCGGTCCGGGCAGATAAGTCTTTTCCCTTCGGTCATCCGCGTCGGTCGGGCAGAAAGTCTTTTTCCCTTCGGTCAGCCGCGTCGGTCCGGGCAGACAAGTCTTTTTCCCTTCCGCGTCGGTCAGGTAAGTCTTTTCCCTTCGGTCAGCCGCGTCGGTCCGGGCAGATAAGTCTTTTTCCCTTCGGTCAGCCGCGTCTCGCAGACAAGTCTTTTTCCCTTCGGTCATCCGCGTCGGTCCGGCAGACAAGTCTTTTCCCTTCGGTCAGCCGCGTCGGTCCGGGCAGAAAGTCTTTTCCCTTCGGTCAGCCGAGTCAGACAAGTCTTTTTCCTTCGTCAGCCGCGTCGGACAGACAAGTCTTTTTCCTTCGGTCGCGTCGGTCGGGCAGACAGTCTTTTTCCCTTCGTCATCCGCGTCGGTCCGGGCAGACAAGTCTTTTTCCTTCGGTCATCCGCGTGGTCCGGGCAGACAAGTCTTTTTCCCTTCGGTCATCCGCGTCGGTCCGGGCAGATAAGTCTTTTTCCTTCGGTCAGCCGCGTCGGTCTGCAGACAAAAGTCTTTTTCCCTTCGGTCAGCCGCGTCGGTCGGCAGACAAGTCTTTTTCCCTTCGGTCACCGCGTCGGTCGGCAGACAAGTCTTTTCCCTTCGGTCATCCGCGTCGGTCCGGGCAGATAAGTCTTTTTCCCTTCGGTCAGCCGCGTCGGTCTGCAGACAAGTCTTTTTCCCTTCGGTCATCCGCGTCGGTCCGGCAGACAAGTCTTTTTCCCTTCGGTCAGCCCGCGTCGGTCCGGGCAGACAAGTCTTTTTCCTTCGGTCAGCCGCGTCGGTCCGGGCAGACAAGTCTTTTTCCTCGGTCAGCCGCGTGGCTCTGCAGACAAGTCTTTTTCCCTTCGGTCAGCCGCGTCGTCCGCAGACAAGTCTTTTTCCCGTCGGTCAGCCGCGTCGGTCCGCAGACAAGTCTTTTTTCCGTAGGTCAGCCGCGTCGGTCCGGGCAGACAAGTCTTTTTCCTCGGTCAGCCGCGTCGGTCGGCAGACAAGTCTTTTTCCGTCGGTCAGCCGCGTCGGTAGTATCACCCCAAAGAATGTGATAGCAGTTGAAATCACCTCTTATGATAGGTGGTTGAAGATGAGAAAGTAAAGTTTTGAAGGCGTTAAAGTCAGTAGGAAAAAGAGGGGAAAAGTAAACTGAAATAACTGTGATCCACCGTTGAAGAACATGCAGATGATGGTGCAAAGGATAGTGGTCTGGAAAGGTCTAGTGTATGGTTTGGTTTGGGTGGTTGAGAGGATGAGGTATGTTGGGAAGGGGCAGGGGGAAGAGAGGTAGGGGGAATATCAAGAGGATGATGAATGTATGTCTGCAGTCACTCTTATTGTAGGTCGGATGGGGGTAGAGACAGAGGCAGGTCTTCCATGGGGGCACGGGGGGGGGGGCACCCTCCCCCTTGCAATCTAATTGGCCACCCCGTGGGCAGGGAGGTTTGATAAATGAAGGATCTTTATGAGGAGGTGAAGAGTAGGTATTTGAGGAGAATAGTTAATGGCTAAAAAACAAAATAAATGTGCTAGACATCTAAGGTCATATAGCACTATAGGAAAGTATATTAAAGGAGGGGTGAAGAGTGATAGTTGCTATGCGTCATCTATCTAGAGTAATCTTGAAAGGTTAAAGACTGGTAAAGGAGTTGCTGTGTGAATGGGCTATGGTGGGTCTAGGTAAGGGAATTACTTAAGGGTTTCACGTTTATATCCAGGAGGGAGTGGAAATGATAGAAGGGATGGATTGAAGGAGAATGTACGTGTAATTGGAGTTAAGGGAGTAGGAGGAATTGGTGTAGAGGGAATATGAGGAGGAGGAGGATGGGTGTCGGGAGGATGGATATCGGCAGTATTAGGATGGATAGATATCGGTAGTAGGCGGAATTGAGGGGGTTAGGTTGTGTTGAGAGTAGGATGAATAGGTGCAAGGGGAATACGAGTAGGAGGGGGGATACGAGTAGGAGGGGGGATACGAGTAGTAGGGGGGGATCGATATCGGCAGTCACCTCGAATGTAAAGGGAGCATGGGTTGTGGAATTTTGTCTCGAGCATATAGCTTTGAATATCTTTCATAGTTTCTGCAATGGAGTTGGTTGGAAAGTTTTGCGAGACAAAGGTTTTCTTATAAGGGTGGAGGGAGAGGAGACTGGTTTGAGGATAAAAGACAAAGGTAGGTGGAGGTGAGTGTGCAGTAGGGGAAGGTGTGGAACGTTTATTCTGTCTGCTGCGGGCACTGGGGGGAGAGAGAGGGGATGGTGTTGGGGCTACAGTTGAGATTGGAGTGTCTGGGTTTAGAGTGGCAAAAGAGTTTGACTGGGGAAGGTAGGAGGTAGAAGTGTAAGTGGGGAAGTAAGTAGGTATAGGGGAGGGTGTAGGAACATCCTGGATTGGAGGGGGAGGGGCAGAGTGAGCAATTACTCTAGATAGGGAGTATGAGAGAAACCTTGTCGGCGTGCTTCCTGTCTGGCTTCACGCAGAGACCTTTTTTGCAACCTCAGACTCAAACTTGTAAGTGGGACTCTAAAATACATTATGGGGTCTGCCGCAGTTAGCACATGTGCGTGCTTGTTTCAGGGCAGTATGATCGGTTATGACTAAGTTCGGCACATGTAGGGCATTGGTCTGTGGAACGGCAGTGTTTGGCAGGATGTCCAAAGCGCCAACAGTTTTGATATTGATGTGAAGTTGGTAAGGTCGGACAGGGAGGGATTGTATAATGTAGATATGAAAGGGAAGGTCATGTGTCCGGAAAGTAATTATGGCAATGTTAGTGGGTTTCTTTCGATGACTTCTAGGAGGAATGGAGTAGCATTGTACTGATTATCACATCACGATCTTCGAGGCAGCCGAGTAAGTACTCTACACAATATTGACCAACTGATATCCATAGGGCAGCTTGCTGGGGAGACAGACAGTTCCAGAACAAGTATTAAGAGCTGGATGAGGTTCTGCAGGAATGGGACTGTCAGAGAAATCGGTTACATTTGATAATGCTATAGCTTCAGTTTCAGATGTAACTAACGAGACGGGAACGATCGGTTCGGGGACTGCCCACTTGCTCCTGGAGACATTGTTGAAAGAGGAGTGTGTTGCCTGAGTAAGGAGCTGTAGGGGGGAAATCACGAAAAATCGGTACCATTTGGCTGGGCTAAATAGAGTATTTAAGATATTGGCAGAGTCGTGGGTGGTAGAAGGACAGGGACGTGTGGAATATGTAGAAGTGTTGAGGGGGGTAGTATTATGAAGAGAAGGAGAATAAGGCTGTAAGGCTGTGGGGGTAGTTGAAGTTGAAGTTGGGAGAGTAGGAGTCTCGACTTGGGTGGATAATAGGGACATTGTTCAAGGAAAACAGAGGTGGGTGTTGGAGGAGAATCATCCAGGGGATGAGAAAGGGGGACGGGGGAAGGTGAAGTATCAGGGAGAATGTCTGGAAGGGAGGGGTCTGAAGGACACTGTTGTGATAGAGGGAATTCGTGTGAGAAGGGGATGGAAATACGGAAGAGGAAAAGAAAAAAGACCAAGCAAAATTAGTTGAGGCGAGGGCCGAGTCCCAAGGTAGGGGTGATCCCCTACATTGGGTCTCAGTCTTCGTCTCCCACGACGACAACGAGCAAGGTATTGGGAGGGATTTCTATGGAAAATCATATATTGTACATCTAAAGCCTCGCTCGAATTC